CTGCTCTGGGCTTCACTGAGTGTCCCCATGAACAGGAGCAGCCCCAAATCCCTATTTATGTCAGCCCCATAAATAGGCTCTCTGCAAGCCAATTTCACCCAGGCCTTACCCTCGGCCAGCGAGAATCCCGCAGGGGAGATCAGCCCCACTCCCACCTAACACAACACAGTCTGTGGGGGACTCTGGAAGTCCTTCCTTACCCCTAGCCACATCCTTCCCAACCACTGCTTCTTTCTTGGTCTGACCAAGTCCACTCTTCAAACTCAGCAAGTAAATCCACTGCAGTCCAGGATGGCTACTAAGGAACACTCAGCCTCTTTCCTCCAGACCGTGTGTGCCAGACCGTGTGTGAACCACCCGTCCTCTTTTTGAAGCCTGAGGCACAAAGCCTCTTCTGGCTGCCTTGTGCTTCTCTGCGTCTTCTAAAAGCCTTCAGGCAGTTCTCAGGCTCCAGACCTGAGTCTGCAGCTTCATGGCCACTAGAGGTCCAATCTGGGGTGCTAAACACAATCGCCTGTTCAGCCAGTTCCCCCATCAGGCCACAAGTCTGCAGAGAAGGGTCCCAGCAGCCCAGGGAACAGGGCCAAGACATGAGCTGCTGCAACAGGGTCTGTGGTAGGGCTCCCACCCCCTACCTCCACGAGAAGATCCCCAATCCTACCTGCCCAGAGAGTGGACTGGAGCCTCCAGACAGACCCCACTCCAGCCATGAGGAGGCCCCTGTCAAGGACGGGACAGGTTGTAGTCCAAAGTCCTCAACCCCCTATTGAGAGGGCACAGGCCCCCAGCAGAGCCAGCAGTTCTCCTCCCTCCCCCTCCACACGCCCCTTCCCAGCTCTGGGCAGCCGGGCCCTTTGCCCCTTGGTCTTCTCCCCTCCCCAATCGGGTCGGCCCACAATGCGCACCCTGTGCCTTCCCACACCCCTCCCACCCTGCTGCAGCCTGTCTGCTCCCCGCCACCGCACCCTCCTTAGTAGAGCCTTCTCTCTTAGGTGCAGTGGTCCCAACTCCCAGCCCCGCCACCTACACCTACACCATATTAACTGTCATTTTGTAAGAAAAGTGACCTGTTGGTTTAATAAATCTCTAGTTATTGTAATAATTTATTGGCTGCCGTAATGTATTTATTAGTCATCTACCGTTAATAAAAAGTGCCAGCTTTTTCTAGTGTGAGTGTGATGTGTTGTGTTAGTGCCCGTAGAGCTTCTGCCAGGTGCACCCACACGACACAAGTCCTCGTGCCCTGCTCTGGCCTGGCCCAGGGATGGCGGGCAGCCTGGCAGAGTGGGCACAGTCCTGCTGCGGGCAGAAGAACTGGGGTGACTGGCTGCCCTGCCCACCTGTCAGGATTGCCACCAAGCAGAGAGGGAGGTACTGTGTCCTGCGCCAAGCCCATCCCCTTTCCATCCTGGTGTGCGTGGCACCTGCCTCCACGTTGCTGTCAGGCCACTGGCTGCTGCCGCACCACTGCCTGCTGCTCTGGGCTCCACTGACATCTGGAGCAGGTGGAGGATTTGGGGGAGATGGCCTGAAGAGGGTGCCAGTGGCTCCGGCAGGAAAGCAACACAGGCAGGGGCAAGTGGCTGGCGGCTGTCTGTGACTCCTGGCTTCTTTCTCTTTCCTCAAATGATGATGTCTCCATGTGGAGTGTACGCCAGTGTCTGCTTCCTCCTGGGAAGCTTGTGAGGATGCTCTGTGCAGGTTCTGGTCAGTGTGGGAGGGATGGCAGTCAGGCCTGGGGCATGGAGGGGGTCTCAGTGCCGGCGGCTCTCCCAGTGCAGTATCACTCCTCCTCACTGCCCTCCCCAAGTCCATCAGGGATCACTCCTTCTTTGGGGGTTCCCTCCAAGGCCCTCTTCCCTCCAAACCAAGTCTGTGTGTGTCCTCTGCTCCCTGGACCTCTCCTCTGCTCTGTGCCACCCCTGGGCCTGCAGACCTTATTAATGTGTGTGTATCCTCTCTCCCCAACTAGACTGTGAGCTCTCAGAGAGCAGGACGTTCCTATATCCTTGTAGCAGCCCAGCAGAGGGCCTTGCACACAAATGCCAGTCGGCGTTGTCTGCAAGAACCAGTGTGAGCTTGCTCTGCATCTAGAGGTGCCCAAGGCTGTGGAGGGGCCGGGCCTAGGCAGGTGGACGAGGAGCCAAAGGAAGCTGTTCCTTCTTTTCCTCCAAATCTGAGCTCCACAGCCTCTTGAGGAAGAGACCTGCAGTCCCACCCACATGCCAAAGGGGTACAGTCCCCACTCTGGGCTCAGGTCACTCTCATAGCCCCTCTGGGATTCCCATTTAATCCCAGAGGTGCCCCAGCCATATGTCCCTAGCACATCCCCAAGAGTCTGTAGACTGAAGCCAAGTCCGTGTCAGGACAGATATGCAGTTGAATCGGGAACTTTGCTCCAACTGGGTTTGCAGCTCTCTGTTGAGGCGCCTGGGTGCTATAGGGAGGCCTCTCCAGTGCGTCCTTGGGGCCGCAGGACCTCAGACTGAGAGGTGGCCCAGTGGGCCTCCATGTTCACAGCTCCAGGCCCTACACTCAGGTGGGTGGGGCCTGCTCAGAAGCCCTCCGCTGGCCTGTCCTGAGCAGACTCCGTCAAGATAGCACAGGACAAATGCGTCTTGCTTCTCCCGTGGTGGGATCACACAGATGACAGGGAAACTTTCTTGAGTAACTGAAAGGGAAAGGTGCTGGTGGAGGGTGAGCACATGCTGACACCATGAGCTTGCTGAATTTGTTTCTCCGAATAAAAGGACAATTCATTTTCTACAGTCCCACAGGGGGCATAAAGCCATGTCAGTTGTCTAGACCTTTGAGGGGAAACAGAACTCAGCCTGCCCCTTCCACTACCGACTTCAGCCAATAAGGACAAGGGTTTGGGGGCAGATCCCTCAACAGGGCCTTGGTATGATAGCACAGGCCTGGGAAGATCACCAAAGAGAGGACGAGCCTTAGGGTGCGTGGTGCCTGCCACAGTGCTCGTATCTTATTCCCCGAATTCAACTCCTATTTGCAATGCTGATGTTGACCCAGAGAAAGCCATTAATAAGTTCTGGATCTGGGCCAGCGCCTGTGGCTCGGTGGGTAGGGTGCCAGCCCCATATACCCACACCCAGGGTGGCCAGTCAAACCTGGCCCCGGCCAAAACACAGCAAAAAAAGAGCTGGGCGTTGTGGCAGGCACCCGTAGTCCCGACTATTTGGGAGACTGAGGCAAGAGAATTGCCTGAGTCCAGGAGTTGGAGGTTGCTGTGAGCTATGGCGCTACAGCGCTCTGCCAAGGGCAATAAAGTGAGACTCAGTCTCTACAAAAAAAATAAATAAGTTCTGGATCTGGCCCAGGGCTAGTGCAAATCTCTGCTCCTTAAGGTCCCCAGCTGTGCCAGCTCAAGGATTTTTTTTTCTTTCTTTTTTTTTTTTTTTTTTTTTTTTGTTGTTGTTGTTGCAGTTTTGGCCAGGGCTGGGTTTGAACCTGCCACCTCCGACATATGGGGCTGGTGCCCTACTCCTTTGAGCCACAGGCGCCACCCAATTTTTCTTTTTTTGAGACAGAGTCTCTCTCTGTCACCCTGGGTAGAGTGTCAGTAGAGAGCTGTGGTGCCATAGCTCACAGCAACCTCAAACTCCTGGGCTCAAGCCATACTCATACTTCACCCCCACAAGTAGCTGGGAATACAGATGCCTCCCACAGCACCCAGCTAATTTTTTTCTATTTTTAGTAGAGCTGGGATCTCTTGCTTGCTCTGGCTGGTCTCAAACTCCTGAGCGATCCATCTGCCTAGGATCCAGAGTGCTGGGATTACAGGCATGAGCCACCTCACCCCACCTGCCTTAGTCACTTAGTTGCCCAGTGACCCCAGGCAGGTAAAGTGGTCACTTGCTGATAGTGGCCACTACATCTTCTTCACCCTCCTGCTCAGACAGGGAAAGATGTCCGTGGCAGCTACAGCCATTTACTGTTTGCTTGTCTCTGGGGAAGTTCATCTCTCAGTGAATAACGCCCAGTAACATCCTCGTCAGTCCTCTTCTCTTTCCTATTATTTGTTTCAATCTGCTTACTTTGAAATAGAGTTGAGCCTGCATTACCTCTGGGTTTGGGCTCTAGACCCACAAAGCTGGGTTCATGGTGATCAAGACCTGAGAGCTGAGGCAGACTTCTTGGGGGAAAGTAAGGGAGGCTGTTCCTTCCCCAAGGCTCCCCATGCAGAAATGGGTTAGATCACGGAGAAACATGCTCTTCTGTACTGCTGAGAAGCAGACTACCCAGCTGAGTGTGCTTGGCATCCCCAAGTAGAATGAGTCAGCCCTTGCCCAAGGCAAAAGGCTGACCACCTTTGTTGCAGCTTTTTCTGGAGTGCCCATCACACCCATCCATTTGGTAAATGAGCTTGTGTGTCCAAGGCAGCCCTGGAGCCAGAGGAGGCATGGCCTGCCTTTCAGGCACTCCTGGAGGCGGCCCTGGGCAGGGGCATTTTCCCCAGAGGCAGCCCCCAGGAAGCCAGAGGAGCTGGCCTGACTTCCCTCGGAGCACAGAAGAAGCCTAAAAATCCCTCACCAGAAGGCATCCTCACTCTGGACATCCTGGCCCAGGAGAAAAGGTTCAGTCCAGCATCCCTTGCCACTCCCAGGACATTTGCACACATATGCACTTAAGTGCACACACCAATGCAGGAAACCCTCCCATGGCTGAGACTCTGTGGTGGGGACAACTCAGGTCACCCTGTCCTCAGCCTCCCCAGAGAGACATGGTTGGTTCCCATCCAGTCTCTGCCACTGGCCCAAAGGTAACAGGCACTCTGTAAGTCAGAAGTGAGCAGCTCTGTGATGTTAACACCTGCAGGTTCAGCCAGCCTCCCTGAGCAACGGGGGGCACAGGGGCCCTCAGGAGCCCTGAGTAGCCGAGTCTCTCTCTTGAGCCTAACCCTCCTCTTCTCTCTCCCTGTCTCTGTGTCTCTCCCTCTTGATGTCTGTCCTGCTCTGTCTCCTCCCTGCCTGGGGCTGCAGAACCGCATGCACGAGTCTCTCATGCTCTTCGACTCCATCTGTAACAACAAGTTCTTCATCGATACCTCCATCATTCTCTTCCTCAACAAGAAAGATCTCTTTGGTGAGAAGATCAAGAAGTCACCTTTGACCATCTGCTTTCCTGAATACACAGGTGGGTGTTGTGCGTCCCTGTGCAGCAGGAAGCAGGGACCCGTGGGCTTGGGAACAGGTGCTCGGCCAGCACCATTTGGGCTTGCTGGGGAGAGGCACCCAGTGCAGGAGTGGGTGTGCAGAGAAAAACGGATTGGGGCTGCCACAGGCTTGGTCCTTCCCAGGACTCCAACCTGAGTGTGGTAGGAAATGGCCCCTCCTGAGCCATGCACGTTGTGATCTAGTGACTCAGGAGTAACAGGGTAGGTCAGGAGCAGGGGGCAGAACAGGACTACAGGCTTCCTGTTCCGCTATGTCCTGGTCACCCTCTAGAAGAGGTCTCAGGACTTCAGGAGAACCTCTCCTTACCTCTGCCAGGGCCACTGCTGGACCACATGGCACTGTTGCAGGAAAGAGGAAAGGGAGACACAGCCTGGGCTCCATTTCAGCCCCCACCTGCCTTCTCTATGCTCTGCCTTGGTGCACAGCACATACTTGTTGTGCAGCAGCCACTCCATACCCTCTCCTCCATCCCTGCTCTTTCCCCCAAATCAACCTTCACTTCACTAGCCTCCGCCATCCCTGCCATCCTGGCTTTGGCCTTCTCTTGTTCTTTGGGAACTGTATCGTAGATCCCACACACACATAGGTCTTTCCAAATAGATTCCACAGGGCAGACCAACTCTGTAGCACTGCCACAGGCTAGGACCAGTGCTGGTGGGGTACCATAGCCCTTGACCCTCTAAGGATAAAATTTCTGCAGGTCCCTGGGGTGAAGTCATCTTTGCATGCTAAGAACAGAGGCCCAGGACCCTGCAGTGGAGGAAGATATGTGCTATCCTCCCGCCAGCTAAGGACACAGGCTGGCTCAGTGGAGCCCACTGACTGACATAGCCCTAGGGGCTACGCAGGTCTCTAGACCCAGTCATGGGGCTCCCAGATCCCAGTAGGCAGTGATGCAGGTCTCTCCACCCTTCTCCCCTACCGGGGTTAGCCATGTGAAGAGGGCCCACCAGCGTATTCTGGGTGCTGCCTGTGAATCTGTGAGGTTTCTTCCCATCCTAGGGGGCAAAGAGGGAGATGAGGCTGGGGGCTGTGTCCTGCACCCAGGGCTCTGCCCTGACAGATGCCAGGAGCACCCAGTCTCCAGCAGGGTGGGTGGCCAAAGTAGCCTCTAGAGCCAGACCACCTGAAACTCTGAGCAAATTAATCACCCATGCCTCAGTTTTATGTGGGGTGGCTATAAGGATAACTGGGGGGAGGGGTGTTCTACACCAAGACTACATAACCACTGGCTGCTGTTTAGAGGATGGCAAACAAGGTCAGGGGGGATTGGCCATGGGGGAGGTGCCTGCTGCAGGCTGGAGAGAGTGCAGGAGAGTACTGGACAGCCTCTCAGGGCTACCATGGGGCCAGGGAGGTACCTGTCAGTATTGGGCAAAGCCAGCTGCAGCCCACCCTCTCAGCAGCCACATTGACTTCACCTCTCATAATGAAGTTATGGTGCCAGGATGAGGGGCACCATAACTTGCCCCTGCCAGGCCCTCTGAGGCCAATGCTGTGTAGTGTTGAGTGCTGGACACCCCAGAAGGTGCCCCTAAAGTCAGAATTTAGGAAGCATCTCAGTTCTCCAGGGCCTTCAGAGGATCCAGTCTCAGTTCAGACAACACAACACATGACAAATGGTCACTAATACAGTGGCCCCATGGGGCACAGGCCAGTGGGGACACAGAATAATTGAAGGGCAAAGGGGGACACTGGCTGACTATTTCGGGATCGTGTGGGTCAGCATGGCCCAGGCAGCAGTGGGGCTGTGTAAGGACATTGGACTCTGCCAACACAGAGAAGCCACCATCTGGATGGGATGCCAGGGGACACTTTTACCATGGTCTGTGCTCCTGTCTTGGCTCTCTGTGGACAGGACACTCCTCAGCAGGGTCCACGTCAGCCACTTGTCTAGTTCTGATGGCTTTCCTGTGGGCCTGGCACTCCATGTGCCCTCACTCTTAGTGTCTCTACAATGAAGCCCTAAGGGCATGGCTTGGCCTGTGTGTCTGGGCTGCTCACACCCCAGGGATGCCCGCCCCCCCTACCCTCATATTCACTTATCACTGGCCTGGAGTCAGGCTTCTCTCCCTCTTCAAAAGGAAAGGAAATCCTTGCTGCAGAAGCCTCCAGCGCCCTGAGCCAGTCCCATCCTGGGGCTCACAGCCTTGGTCTGCAGATGGAACATGAGGCAGGGCTGCGTGGGGCACGGGGGAGGGACCATCCCACACCAAAAACAGCATACTGTTTGCATGCTGGACCAGATCCTAGTGGCACTGAGGAAAATGGGGCATCTTCCTTGTACTGGGCTTTTGTGAGCTTGTGTATTGATCCATGTTTTATGGTATTTAATTGAAAACTGTCGGCTCGGCGCCT